CATTATTATTTAGCAAAAAGAAAATTTATTGTTATTAAATTTTCAAAACAGTATTATAACATTTTTATCACATATAAATATTTATTAAATACAAAATTATTTCAAACTTTGTATCCTATTACATACTACGGAGAATATTTTAGTATATGGTGTATATTTTTTTCAACAAACTAAACAAAACAAAGTTAGAGTTGTAACATGATACGCGTTGTATGTCATATATGTATTTTCTCATTTTGTGTCATTACTTAATTGATTCATTTGAAATTTTTTATTTTAATTTTTTAATTATAAATTATTTCATTCTTACTTTTTTCAGTGATCATTTAGTTTGTATAAAACTTTTCACATCACGTGTGCACATCATGCCACATGTGATACCACAAGTGATGTCATAAATCCATATTTATTTTTATTAGGTTTTTATAAACTTCTTATATCATATTAAAGAATTAAAATAGATAATATTTTATTTTTTAGATGTCAAATATTAGATTACATGTGAGCCCATGCAAAGCATGAAAAAGAACTAACATTATATATATATATATATATATATATATAACAATTTGAGATTTTTGCTGAAATTGCTTTATAATTTGACGGCAAAGTGTGTAAATTTATAAAAATTGTGTCTATTTAAAATATTGTTTTCATAAATCAAAATTTTATGATATTTAATTATTTAAAACTATATTTAGTTTGTATTCAAAATATTACATAATTTTACCAAAAAAGTCTAAGACTGATAATCTTATTTAATAGACACGTGAACACATCCCAAGTCCGTGCGAAGCACAGGGTAGAAAACTAGTAGTATGTAAAGTATAATTTTTATGCTTTAATATTGCTTCCATGCATCATTATTAGGGGTGAGCAATTTAACCGAACCGACCGGTAAACCGATTGGATTTAACCGAACCGACCGAAATTTCGGTTTCGATTTCGGTTTCGGTTTTACTATATATAAAAGTCGGTTAATTCGGGTTTTCGGTTTTGGTTTCGGTTCCGGGCAGTATTAACCGAAACCGACCGAAAAACCGAGCCCAATATATGTAATTATGTAAATTTTATATATGTAAGCCCAGTCTATTAATTCAAGAAACAAAGCCCAGTCCAAAACCTAATTAATGGCGGCCCATCCCAAATCCCAAATTTAGTGTTGCTGTCTCCTCTGTTTCTTGACTTTTGTAATCCCTAATAATATGATTCCATCAACGGCAAGACGACATCAAGTCTTTACGCCGCCTTTAAGTATTTTAGAATGGACGGAGATCGACGCCGAAGACGATGCCCTTTGACGACGACGGCTGTGGAAGCTACTCTGCTTTCTCCGCCGATACTCCGTCGTACCAATCTGCCGGCGAATTATCTGGTGCGTAACATGCCTCTCAGTCCATCGACAGCCCGGAACACTCAGATCAGATCTGTACCAAGGACATCCCGCTCGATTTGGATCCTCGCCTGTTTTAGTTTCCAACGGGAACGGAAAGCCTTATGAGCTTGGGGAAGATTCCGATGGGATATTCATCTCCGATGGGTCGGTTATTTGAAAACCGACCGGACCGAATCGATTTTTCTCGGTTCGGTTTTAAAAAAAATTCGGTTCGGTTTGGTCGGTTAATACGAGTCATTTTTATTTTCGGTTATTTCGGTTTTGGGCCGAAACCGACCGACCCGAACTGATGCTCTCCCCTAATCATTACTAGTATTCCTACCCGTGCCATGCACGGGTTCGGACAAATATCTTGTCAATTCTGAATTTTTTCAATGTAATATTTTTTTCCGGAATAAGAAAATATAATTCATCCATGATTTATAATAACATAGAAAAGAAAGGCAAAGCAAAAAAGTACAATTTTTGAGGAATTGAATCTACACACAACAAAGTTTGTTTTAATACTAAATTTTTGAAAGACTTCAGGGTATACAACATTTTTGGTATGGCTGCAAGGATTTCCATTGTCATATTAGACTAATATTTTTAACCATGTCTTTGTATTCACTCGTGAAACAACAACGAACATAAAGCTGACCATAAGTGAACACTTGCTTGGTTAAAAATAATCCAACAAATGACAATGTATGACCTTGACTTTTGTTGATAGTCTTAGCAAAACATAAAACTATTGGAAATTGTCTTCTCTGGAACTTCAAGGGTAGTCCCGGATCAGACGATACCAAATTCATCCGAGATATGTAAACTCATTCGCCCACTCGATTTCCTGAAACCACAATAGCACCAATAACATTCTTTCGCATCTCGTCAAAATTAATCTTGTACCATTACACAATACAGATGTCTGGTCAATGTTCCTCAGTAACATAATTGGTACCCCTTTTTTAAAACTATCCTGTGGTATGGGATTCCTGAACATTTGATTTCATTCAAAAACTCAACTGTTATCTAGCCGCCATCAACACCTACATCTGAATCTGCTTGGCATGATGAATCAGAACTCAAGTACACCATTTCATCTCTGGAAATGAGGGATAAGACAAAATCAATTACCATCTCTACAACTTCGAGCATGGTGCTAGTAGCGTCTTGTCTTCAAAAAAAAGATAACTTCTCATATTTTCCAAAAAAGTTCGGATAAGTTAAGTCTACTATACTTTTGAGGGGAGAATTGTTATCTAGAATCAAAAATTCGAGAGGAATTTCAAAGTCAGCAGTTTCATCAATCACTTGTCTAAGCTTTCTATCTCCAACTTTGATTATCCAATCAGAAAAATCTTGCATGTCTCTATCTACGCAAGAGGGCGTTGATGAATGCAATCTCATATTCTTTGTCAACTTAAAAAACTTTACAATATGACCACAAATTTAAAGAATTAATGGTAGAACCTACAATTTTCTCTCTCGAAGCTCTGGGTAAAAGAGGAAGAATTTGTCTGAAATCACCTCCGAGTACAACCGTTTTCCCTCAAATCGTTCATTTATTGAGTTTTTATTAGAGAACTTCATTAGTTCTATCATCGTGCGATCCAATGCCTCAAAAGCAAATCTATTCATCATACATGCTTCATCCCATATAATTAAACTTGCTTGTTGAATTAGTTCTGCTTTTGGGCCCCCTTGTTTGATGGCACATGTTGAGCACTATGTTAGCGCCAAAGGAATTGAAAATCTGGAGTGTGCTGTCCTTTCCCAGGCATCCCACTGGATGCGACATTCAAGATAACTTTACCACTTGATCTTAGAAAAGTAGACAATGATTTCCAAAGAAATGTTTTTCCAGTTCCACCGCAACTATACACAAAAAAATCCTCCTTTTCCAGCTGTCACAACTTCCATTATTTCATCATATATCTTTCGCCGATCTTCATTCATCGTAGATAAGTATCCCATAAGATCAAATGACAAATTTTTTTTATCATAGTTCAACTCCTCAACCAACAAATATTTTTGAAATGTATTGAGTGGACTGTCATCTAGAAATGTCATACAACTGAATTCCCTCAAAGACCGTCCATTTGAATTAATCAACTTTTCAAGGAGAGTGCATCTCCATATCAAAAAATTTCACAGAAATTTCGCATATCATCTGCGAAGGAAACTTAGTGTAATTTCGTTCATCTCCATATCGAAGAATTTCAGGAAATTTTGCATATAATTGATTGCGAATCTCCAGAATCCAAATCACAGAAATCGCACTGATGAACGGGTGAGTTTTTCTCTCATAATCGAAGGGGTGTGTTTTTCTCAAATCAGCCATCCAGGTCATTTAGATCCGATTTGGTTAAGAAAGCCCAATAGATACATTCACTTGATGATGACATTGATGACATGGCAGATGAGATGTTAAAAATTTTGTCCACTCAGCATGACAAATGTCAACATTTTAGGAGTTTAACTCCCAAATATTATATATAAAGGATTCCTACAAGCTAAGCAATTATTAAAAATAATACTCTGTAGTTTGTAGTTGAAATATAATACTAATAATGATGATGATGATGATAATAATAATATTTAAAATTATAATATTAATTAAAATTTAGCTGTGTGTTGCTTTCAATAAAGTAATGTGATTTAATCAAATAAGAGTAATTATTATTTAATCGGTGAAAAATATAAATATTATTTTTTATTTTTTTTGTGATTTGATATTATTTGATTTGAAATGGTTTGATCTGATTGTATATGGTCTGATCTGATTGGATATGATTTGATCTAATCTAATTGAATCTGATCTGATCTAATTCGATCTGATGTAATTAAATCTAATCTGATCTGATTTTAATATATAAATTATCCTAAATATGACTAAAATATAGAGAAAAGTACCAAAATAGGACTTTCATATTTATTTTTCCCAAAATAAAACTTCACACTGTGGCAATGTGACATTGTACATATACACATTACTATAAGTTTTTTGGTAAAATACATGACTATGTTTGGTAATGTAAATATATTTTAAGTTTTATTTCAATAATAAAAATATGAAAGCTTTAATTTAGTACTCCGTATATTTTTAACTTTGATCTTTCTTTTATTTTAATAAGAATAATTAATAAGTATGAAAAAAGACAAACCTTCGTCCTAGGTAAATTCCCCAAAACTAATTGAGCTATTTTGTTTGCTAGTTTTTTTTCCTTCCAATGAGTCCGGCGAAGGATAGGAATGGAAGAAGGTAGGGAGAAAGACCAAAGTAGGACTAAAACATTGAAAATATACCAAAATAGGACTTCCATGTTTTTATTCCCGAAATAGGACTTACATTACCAAACGTGGTCATATACATTACCAAAAAAGTATAATTATTTGCACATGTACGCTGCCACATTACCACAATGTAAAGTCACATTACCACAGTGCAAAGTCCTATTCCAGGGAAAAAAACATGAAAGTTCTATTTTGTTACTTTTCTCTATATTTTAGTCCTATTTAGGATGATTTCTAAAGAAGGTATGTATTTTTTTTACATATTTCCCATGTTTTTAAAGTTTAACCTGTTGATTCCTAACATCTGAAGTACTGGTACAAGTTAATTCGAGGAATATATGTTTAGGTTTTGGAGGATTTCTGGTTCAAGCTAAACTCCGAGAGCATCGTTGCTTCCTCTGAGATTTGTGTCCGCTAAAACCCTAACAATAGTTTGACACAACCGTGCAAATTCGACCGGATTCTGTCTATTCAAGGGAGAAGTAGAACGGGGAATGGGTCGGCCGGAACCTTGTGTGCTCTTTGCCCAAACATTTGTCCACCCTCAACTAGATGAATTCGTTGATGAGGTTCTGCCCTGTCTTAATCTCTTTTTCCTTTTGTTTGTCTTGTCGTAGTTCCATTGGGTATGTTTTTTTTAATAAATATTATGTATATATGGAGTAAATGGGGTTTAAGAATTGATATGCTGCACCGCCGAATTGATACCGTATGGCATGCTTTATGAAGTTATGTATCTAAGAATTGCTGGGGTTTATACGGGAAATTAGGATTATGTATAACATCATTAAACATATCACCACCCAGTTATTTCAGTATTTTAACACATGCATAGAATTCCTTTAACTACAACCAAGCTAAAGCTCACTGTGTAATTTGACAAATATACTAGTATACTACTTCCTCCGTCCCATAAAAATTTTCAAAGACGAAAAAAAGTACGCCCTAAAATGGGTAATTTTGATATTACTTTCTAATTATGACTCATATAAGTAAGGGAAAAATTAGTAAATAATATCAAAATCACACATTTTTAGGAGTTGCCTTTTTTCGTTTTTGAAAAGTTTTATGGGATAGCGGAAGTATTAAACATTAACTTTTGTTGTACAAAAAAAGCACCGTTTTTTGTCAAAGAAAACCCAAAGTGACCGCTTGTATCATTTATAGTACAATACATCTTGAGACTTGAGTTAAGAAATGATTACACACGAATTTCAATATAATTTATTAGGATAGTGCATTCATTAAGTTGGATTTTACACTTCACTTTTTGTCCAGGTATTATTTTCAGAACCAGTTGTCATCTCTGCATGTGAGTTTCTTGAACAGAGTGCTTCATCCGGATGTTCAGCAGTGCAACTTGTCGGGTATGTCTTTTAGTTGGAGTATTACATTTCAAATTCAAGTATGCCCTAGTAGTTCACACCGAGAGACCCCTGATGCATCAATGCATTTACTACCCAAAACCTCATAGAAAATGCTTCGTAATATTCAAGGGAAGTTTAATCAGAATCTAGTCTGAAATATAACATCTAGTCATTGGGTTAGATCTGAATTTTTCTTATTTGTTATATGTGTTCTTATATGAACATTTCAAGATCTGGTCTGAATATTATACACCGATTCTATGAATATTGATTTCATTTTGTATATGCTGCTGCTTAAGGGGAAGTAATTGTAAAGAAGTTATACTTTTGGGACATAATGAAGTATGTCCCAATTCCCATGAAAGTCATTGCCCAACAATATACAACTATCCCTGGAATACTTTGTAACTTGTAACATTTAGTATGAATTTCACTCTCATTTTCGTTCTATAATTCGTTATATATACCACCTATTTTTGTTGATGTGTCTTTATTTTGTTCCTTGTACATAGGGCAACTTCACTTCCTTCGATAATGAAATGTTATTTTAGCTCATGGGATATGATATCCTTTACAGAATTATAGTAATTATGACTTGGGAAGTTTAATCAGAATCTAGCCTGAAATATAACATCTAGCCATTCGATCAGATCTGAATCTATCTCATTTGTTAAATGTGTTCTTTTATGAACATTTCAAGATCTGGCTTGGTCTGAATTTTAAAACACCGATTCTATGGATATTGATTTCATTCTGTACATGCTGCTGCTTAAGGGGAAATAATTGTAATGTTCTACTTTTGGGACATAACGAAGTTTGTCCCACTTCTCATGAAAGAGATATAGGTTCTTTTAATACTTACAAAAATGAATTCAGTGTCCAACAATTTACAACTATCCTGGAACACTTTGTAACATTTAGTATGAATTTCACTCTCATTTCCTTTCTATAATTCATTATATGTACCTATTTTTGTCGATGTGACTTTATTTTGTTCCTTGTACGTAGGGCAACTTCGCCTCCTTCATTTGCCATGGAGGTTTTTGTTCAGTGTGAAGGGGAGACAAGGTTTAGACGATTATGTCAGCCATTTTTATATTCTCATTCTTCATCAAATGTTCTTGATGTTGAGGTACCAAACAACCTTTTACTTTCTTCTTATTGCATTAATATTATTCTTGATCCACAACTCTGTTCAGAATGTAATGCCCATTTGAAATGTGATGTGTTTCTCTTGGTAATTGAATGTTTTATACTTTTACAGGATTCCTTGTTTTTCAGAATGGCATATACTATTTATTTTTACTATAACCTGTGTGTCACATTTTTTGAGTATCAGGACCTATGTAGTTACTTTTACAGACACATATGTCCTTTCTCCATTTCATGTTTTCTAAAACATTCCAAGATTTGATCTCCTCTTTGATAGCTAGAGAACTTGTTATGCAGTCTTGTTTTCCAATCTGTAAACTATCGAGTGACTTCATAATCCCTACTAGAAGGTTAGTTAGTGTTTCTCCATGAGTCCATGTGTATAAGTTGGTCAAAATTTCTTATACGTTGTTTTAAACTTATAAGTTGAGTACGTGTTTCCATGTGCTTATAAGCTACTTATAAGATGCTTATAAATAAAAAAAATAAGTAGGTCTTACCTACTTACTCCGGAGTATTTATAAACGAGTATTTTTGTTTCTCTGTTTTGAGTTTTTGACCAAATCATTTGCAAAACTATCCCTAAATGACTCATCTCTCATTTAAGTCACTTTACAAAAAATACTTCAATAAACAGCTTATTAGTTAAAACTACTTATAAGCAATAAGCAATAAACATAATACCCCCTAAATTTCCCATTTGCATTTTTGCGGAGTTTAAGAAAGTGATTTTTTTTTGATGAGATTGCATAGGAGAGAAGTGCTATGGACAACTCAATGTATTCCTTAAAAGGAATGAGAAGATTATTTTGGGACGGAGGGAGTAAAATTTAATTGCTTTCTTTAATCATCATGTAAAAAAAATCTAGCAACAGTTGCCAATGGCATTGGTATGAGGCTCTTGGCTAAAAATTATTTTGGAGTACAATTTTTTTCAGTGACTCATCTGTTCCATTAAAACCCAATTCAAAGTGATGTTCATATTTTGAGGCAGATGAAATCAGGTTAGACCACAATTTTTGAATTGGGAATCAGCTATAAGGGGTTACTAATGAGCTTTAGTGGCTTTGCTGTATGAAAATTAATAAGCCTAATACAGATTTTAATGGAATCCAACTATTAGAAGAATCAGACTAATATGGGCATCAAACCCATCAAATTTATAACGCTTAAACCTCTTTACAGGCATCAGTGCAGCTGGCCTCCACCTCAATATGAGAGGAGCGTCAAAAGCACCATTTTAGAACTTATTTTCCTAGGGAAAATGAAGATCAATAAACTTCTTTTCCTCTGCAGTTTGGGTTTGTGCTAGACTGCTAGTGTGCTACCCTGCATTATTTGCTTGTGAACCTGACCAAATAACGTGTCATTACTTTCGTTCTGGACTTCAAACTTTTCCTCAAGGTTGAATTCACGCTAAATAGTCCTGCTGGATTGCAGACTAACACACGACCCTCAAAAGGTGGTGACATACTGCTATGTGTTGTTACTTGTAAGACATGAACTGGGCCAAAACTATGTAGGCAATAACTTGTGACCAAGGTAGTGTGACAAAGAGTACTACTGATAGGGTTGAATTACTTGAATGTGAAGTTGCAAACCCACACCCACTTTGAAGGACTTGTTTACTCAAAATCTTACATAGACTTGGTTTTCTTCTTTCAGAATCTTTGCGTTGGTGGTTGGAAAGTATTGAAGTTTAGTATTATGTAGTAATATTTGTGTATCTCACATTCATTCATAGTTTTACTTACTTCCTATCTAAGTTCCCAACAAGGGGTCAAAATGTACGCAGTCTTACCTCAAAGTAGAGCAACTGTTTCCATTAACCCCATATGCATGCTGCATCTACTACCCAATTGAAATGTAAATAACTACTCGCATTACAAATTTACAATAAATGGTACTAAAGATTGAAATGAAAATAATTTGAAAAAAGTCAAAGAATCTAAATTCTCAAATGTGCACTATAATAATGGAACACAAATACTTTTCTTTCAACATCTAGTATAATTTTGTGCTAGAGTCAAGGTCTTCAATCATCTACCCTCTCTACGTTTTCTTGACAGGGGTAAGATTGTGTACCCCAGAACCCCCTCACCCCCACCAGACCCACTTGTGGGATTTTACTATATAGGTTGTTGTATTGAATACTAGCAGTATCTACTAAAATTCACTTTCCGCATATGGACCCATTGTCAAGCAATGCCCAATTGATAAGGTTATTTGAATTGTGAAATGTAGTTAAGGGAACAAAAGTTGAAGTAGTTTTTCAACTGGTTAAACTTTACATAAGCCAAAGTTGCTTTCCAAAATGTAATGGCTAAAACTTTTTCTATAACGCAATCTTGACAGTGGACCCAACAAATAAGACTGCTAGTTGCAACAAATAAAACTGGATAAGAAGCTCACCCAACCTACGCCTTACAGTCCTTTCACAAATTGGTCAACTTTGAATGCTCTTTAATGGCTAAAACCTTACAAAAACAAGTGGGTTGATTTTTTTTTTAAACTGTGTTTTCCTTATCTGCTTTATTAATTGTGTGAATTTGAATTGCACTTTATATTGGAATGAGATACATAAATGTTGTAATACATTGTGCGTTTCCTTTTTTATGTTGGTATTCAGATTTTTTTGACGCTCCTATTTTTCTTTCATTCTTAAATAGGCTTCGTAATGAGTTTTAAGGCTGTGTACCGTTCTTGAAAATTTCTGACGGTATTATTTATCACATATAGGCTGTAGTCACCAACCATTTGGTAATTAGGGGCAGCTATCGCAGCCTAAGCTTGGTCATATATGGTAATACTGCAGAAGATCTTGGCCAATTCAATATAGAAGTTGACTTGGATAACTCTCTAGTGAATACTGTTAGTTCTGTGGAAGGAAACATTGAAGACCTTCCTCCTGCGTTACGCCCTACTACTGAGACTTTACTGGAAAACTTATCTCCTTTGAAAACTTTATCTCTCAGAGCTCATCAGGTTGATACTCCAATAGAGATCAAGCGGTTCTTACAACTCACACTTAAAATTTTGGGCTCTCAAAATGTTGGGCTTGTAACAAACAGACTTCTTAGTTCCATATTATCAGTTGCCTCAGTTTATGCAATGCCTTGTCTGCATTCCATAACTACCATCCACAAGCAACTTGGACTAGATAAGTTAATTTTCGATGACAAGGTTCATAATGTCATCAGTGAAGCCATAAAGGAGCTTTTTGAGATGCATAAGGACCTTAATTATGAAGAAGGGAAAGAATTAGTTGAATGTTCAATCGAAGGCGTGTGTACAGCATCAGATATAGATAGTGATGGTACCGAGCAGCTTGTCAATGCATTGATTCGCTACAAATATGATTACAGTATCTGCAGTGACAGAAACCCTGGGCTTTCAAAGGTGACTGAATGTTTTCCGACATAATTTTTTTTGAATTGTGAGAAAAGATATGTACTTTAATTTTTCATTACCACTTTCGGTTCTATGACTTGAATGTGTGAAAGTCTTCTCATTTTTTTGGCATTTGAATTTCAGAAAGAGAATGTCATTCTTTGGTTATCAGTGGCTCTTGTCTTGTGCTCTGCTAGAGAAAGCTGCTTTCACTTTGTTAACTATGGTGGAATGGAGCTACTTGGATATGCTTACTTGCAGAATTCAACTGCCCTGAAGCTAATGCTTCTTGGAGTTATAGAGCAGGCTACTCGGCATTCAGTTGGCTGTGAAGGTTTCCTCGGTTGGTGGCCTCGTAAAGATGAGAGTGTCCCTTCCAGTATCAGTAATGGCTATAATCAGTTGTTGAAGCTGTTAATAAAGTGTCAGCGGCATGATGTTGCTTCACTTTCAACTTATGTACTTCATCGTATACGCTTCTATGAAGTGGCCTGTAGATACGAGGTTTCTGTTTCCAATAAATAAATAAATTTCTGTGTTCATCTGAATCAAAATTGTAACACTCACTTTGAGTCTCACTCTCTGTCCCAACAAACAGCATGCAGTTTTATCCATACTGGAGAGCCACCTTTCTATTGGTAGTCAGGATCAAAGTGACACATTGGACATGCTTGCCAATGCTAAATTCCAAATAAAAACTCTTCTGGTTAGAAGTTTATATTGACATTTGTTATAGTTGAAAAACTTTTTGGCTAAGTGACCTGCCATGTCATATGTTCGTTCTTCTAATATTCACTCAAGGAGTTTTCATGGACTAGATTGCATCACTTCCATTTTTGTTAACTCTAGTACTTTTGCAGAAATTAATAAATTCTAGTGGCCCTATTGAAGATCCTTCCCCGGTTGCTTGTGCAAGTAGATCTTTGCTTGGTGATGGGCAAATGTCTTATGAATCTACAAGTGGCTTGATTCCACTGTCCAAGTGTTGCCATCCTAACAAAGATGTTGACATACATTTGCTTTCTCTTCTAAAGGTACATTATTAGATCTACTTTAGGCTATGCTTTACACTTGATAAAAAAACTATCATAAAGATGAAAGGTCTTGAGTGTTGGTAGTTAGATGTTAAAAGGTAAAAGCTATCATTATGTGTTAAGTGTTTGTTATAATTAAGTGTTGAGTATAGACAAAAGGAATTTTGAGGTTTAATGAGAAGATGACAAACATGTAATTTTGTAAAATACAGAGCAATAGGGTTATTACTCGAAACAAATAACTTGTAGAAAAGGTTTTTGTGTATTAAAAACAAGGTAATATTTGAAATGCCATTTTATTAGTTAATACTCCCTTTGTCCTAGTATATTAGTCAAGTTTGGTGGTAAAAAGTCAAACTTGACAAACATTGATAATCAATCAATTAAAATTTGCATTGCATATTAATACAAAGAAATACTCCCTCCGTCTTGATATAATCATGTCACTTTCCTATTTAATCCGTCCCAAAATAATTGTCTCCCTTCTTTACTTTCCTAATAAAGTAAAAAATATGTGGTCCTCAATCTTTCTCTTTCCTCTAATCAAATTTCAACCACTCACTTTTTACTTTTCAACATTTTTCCTAAACTTCATGATGTCAAACTGAGACGATTAATTCGGGACAGAGAGAGTAATTTTTGGAAGTATTTTGTAAGATAAATCTAATGAAAATATTTCATATTAATATGTCATGCAATTTTTATTTAATTGATGATTGATGTTTGGTCAACTGGATGAGTACACTTGCATGAGAGAGCATTAATTTTATTAAATAGGTACTGCACATTCCGTCCTTCTTTGACAATATATTGCACATTCCATCTTATAAAGGTGTCATGCTCAAATGTTGTTTCTCTCTCCAAAATGAGTTGTGTTTCATCAATGGAAGTTACTTTTCTTGCATTTTATCCAAAATCACGTGAAGCAGTGTAGGGATGCATGAGGCTTACAGTAGTGGTCGGAGGTGGGGGAAGGAGTAGACCTATGATTCTATGAAGAATTGGAAGGAGGTGATTAGGATTTAGGACCTTAGGTAGAAGCATCTGGATATCTAAGATTAGGGTAGTTGGGTGAGAGTTTTTGCGCTTGTCTTTGTGTGCTTTCTATGCTTGGTGCTTTTTGTCTCTTTACCTTTTCTTTACCCTTAGTTTGCCCTTTGCTTGCCTGTTCATGCTCTGTGCCTTCTGTGTTGCTTGAGCCAGGACATTTAGAAACACCTCTCTACTTTCAAGTAGGGATAAGGTCCCTATACACCCAGACCCTACTTTTGTGGGATTCTATTGGGTTGTTGTATTTTGCTCAAAATACACAAAGAAATTAAATATGATAAGTTTAGGTAAAGTAAGATATAAATAATAAATACTCCGTATAAAACATGAACAATGCTATAAATATTCTAAACTTCTAATACAATCCTAGCATCTAGGTACCTTAGGGACTTAGTTATCTTCTATGTTTTTTAATTCTATTATGTATTACGTTATATTCAATTTTTCAGTTCTTTTTCTACACATTGTATATGTAGTGGACTGTAACACTCGAGCACATTTATAGATCTCTAACCCATTTCCCCTCTTTCCCACAATATTAGCTTTTGTCCTTTGTTTCTGTTGTTTGGGGAAGTACTCCCTCTGTCCCGAATTAATTGATACAGTTTGACTTCATGTAGTTTAAGATAAGTGTTCAAGTGGTTGATGTTTATTTAGAAGAGAGTGAAGAAATGTGAGCAACATGTTCTTTACTTTATTAGGAAAGTAAGGAAGTGTATGAATTAATTGGGGACAACCAAAAAAGGAAATGGAATGAATTATCTGGGGACGGAGGGAGTATTATATAATATATACACCTCTTGCTCAAATCATCATCTTTCTCTTGCTCAAATTATTATCTTTCTCTTGCTCAAATAATATATTCTGATATTTGTGATTTGTTTCCCTAGTCTATTTAGTTTATCTTTTAGAGTCTTTACTCTCTACCATATGCACATCAACATTCTCTTTTAATTACACACTATCCCATTGGTTAAAACATAAAGAAGTGATGGGATCTACTTGTATTGTATTTAAAAATAAAAAAGTACACTATTTGTAGATGTCACAACTTCTAGACCAATGAAGGAGAGTATTTGAGAGAGAAGTGTTTGAGTGGTTTGTACTCCCTCATTCCTAAAATAGTTCCATTTGGAGACTTTTTTTGTCTTAAAAAATCATATTTGAGCAAAACTGATATTCATTATTTTTTAATAAAAAACATCCCAAACAGGTTTAAAATGTTAAAATTTAGTTAAATGGAGTTTTGATTAGATTAGCATCTCAATAACTTTAGTAGTCTGGTGTTCAATTTAAGTGTTTTGCGGTAGCATTATAATATTCTCTGTAATTAATATTGACGTAACAACAAAGCCTTATCCCAAGTGTCTTGGGCTTGGCTCATGTCATACTCTGTGACACCATTTGACACTGGCTACCATGGGACTACCACACCCTCCCTTACCTGGGCTTGGGACCAGCTGCTTTTGCAGGCTGAGTTACCTGTCACCATAATTGTTTTGAATTTATTTTGAGCTACGAATCTACCAAACTACTAAAATACATGTCTTGTTATAAAGTGTGGAGTATTCATAATTCATTACACAGAATGTTACGGTAAAATCCTATGACTTTGGTCTTGTGTATGGTCTTCCATTTAATTTTTTTAATTAAAATTTCCCATCAGTGTTTGTCTTTTATACATTGCTGTACTTCATGACAATCTGGTTGTACTCTTTGCTTTTTCACGTTCGTGTTATCAATGTGTCACCATCCCTAATCTTTTTTTTTTGTGCAAGCAGGAGAGAGGTTTCCTTCCCTTGTCTGCTGCTTTATTATCTTTTTCTGCTCTGCGAACTGTTAAAGGTGGCATGCTGGACAATCTTCTGGATATTGTGTCTTATCTAGAGGCCATAGTTCTTTCACTTCTCTCTTGTCGTTCAGGTTTTTCTTCAACTTTTTTGTTTTTTTGCCTGTTTTCTATCAATGCAGACACTCTATCCCTCTTTCAGTCTCTCTATCTTTCTATTGCCATTGAAGTGAGCTTCTTGCCTTCATTACGTTTTTCTTTTCCAAAAACATAATGTATGCTTCTGTTTACAGGACTAGTTTTTCTTGCTTGCAATCTGGAACAGTCTACCACTTTAGTTCATGCCTTAAGGGGAAGTGATAAATGGGAGAAGGAAAATTCAATTTCTCTTCGCTATGCCTCTGCCTTGATTTCTAAGGGGTTCTTTCTGTACCCGCATGAAATTGCATTAATTATGGAGATGCATTTGAAAGCGGTCAGACATATTCTTAATCAATTTTATTTCATTATTTTAATTTATTTTTCTCTGTATAGTTTGTGTGTAACTTTCTTCAATGTAGAAATTATAAATTGTTTTAATCCTTCTCTATTATTTAATTTTTTACTCTGTGGAAATGGCATGGCATAAACATTCTTATTTGATTTCTACTCCTCACGTATGACATGTTAAGAATAAGTGAAAAATGTGGCTGATATTTAAAATGTAAAGTATGGATAAAGTAGGAATGATTTTGAACGAAACAAATACGTCAAATGTGGACTGAGACAAAGATAATGAAACGAGGAGACACAGTAAAAAGGGACAAAAATAATGAGAAAAAGGGAGTACTTTGTTATTTATATTTCCTCTCAACATTTTAACTCATTTTCATTTGCTAGCCGTGCAGATTAATGCTGTAGATCTTTTAGTTACATCTAATCAGAACTCTGAGGATTTCTTATGGATTCTGTGGAAGCTTTGTGGTCTTTCCCGGTAAGAACAATGTAGTTTAAGAGTTATATAACCCTGTACTATACTGGAATCAAACCCACGCATATATTGTAGAATTTAGAAACCATGGATGGAGAAGCTATAGGTAAATAATGTATAACATGCTTATAATATTCAGTTGTTCATATTAGACAACACATATACTTTACCACCACACACAAGTGTTCCTTCTCAATGCAGGTTCTTGGCTACTCTCGAAGTGAAATAACTGAGCAAACCTATTGTGCATGGATTCTTAGATTGCGTTTCAACAACTGTTTTAATCTTAACTCATGAACACTTAACTCTAATTATTGATACATTAAAAATAGTTTTTATTATATGATGATTTTTTAAAATTAAGCTTTACAGGTCTGATGGAGGACGTGAAGCTTTGCTGAATTTGGTGCATTTTCCTGAGGTAATACGTGTTTCCATTTTTAGCATGAAATTGGTTGGTGGATGGAAATGAGACTGCTATTTTCATTCTCCGGGGTGAAATATCATCTTTCAAGATTATCATTTGGGACCTGCTCTGTCACAAGAAACAAGGATACTTTCATATTTTCCTCCCTCTAGTCTATTTCATATCCTCTCTTATGTGTTCCCCTTTTTCAATGGACAATTTAAAAACATTAATCTTATTGATTATGCTATACTTCTGTAGGCTGTTTCAGCATTAATGGCAACATTACACTCTGCAAAGGAATTGGATCCGAGCTCTTTAAGTACTGGTACTGATTTATACTCCATAGATTTCTTTTTTCTGCTGGATGCATTTGATATGCTTCTAATACATTTTCTAGCAGTGTTTGAAATCATTTTCGGAGTTCTATTTGTATTTTCTTGTGATGACAATGCTGCCAAAAATCTCAACTTGCAGTTGCTTCACCATTAAACCATGCAGTCTTTCACTCTGCTGCCGAAATTTTTGAAATCATTGTTTCCGATTCGACTCCATCTTCTCTGTCATCTTGGATTGAACATGTTAAGGACCTGCACAAACTATTACTTTCTTCTTCTCACGGTTCCAACAAAAAAGATGCTCCAGCCAGACTTCTGGACTGGATTGATGCTGGCTTAGTTTATCACAAAAACGGGGCCATTGGTCTTCTACGGTATGCTGCTGTGTTGGCTTCTGGAGGAGATGCCCATATGACGTCGACAAATGTTTTAGCATCTGATGTGATGGACATTGATAATATTATTGGTGATTCTTCTAGTGCTTCTGAGGGTAACCTGATTGATAGTATTCTTGGGAAACGCATCACCGAAAAAGATTTTCCCGGTGTTTTCCTTCGCGACTCTTCTGTTGTTCAGTTGACAACTGCTTTCCGAATTTTGGCATTCATTTCTGACAATTCGGTAAGTGATATTCAATGTACGTCTTTTTCATATGTATGATGCTTCGGGTAAAACTTATACTAGCCGTGATTGCATTGATGAAGACTGTTGCTGCTGCACTTTATGATGAGGGTGCTGTGATGGTTGTACATGCTGTATTAATAAACTGTAGGCTCTTGCTTGAAAGATCGTCTAATGTCTATGGTAAGTATCTTTATTACCTACTACAGGTAGTGAATTGTGTATACTGTATCTAGGAATATGTGCACTTTATTTATTCTCATCTCATCTCATTCCCATATGTTGTTTCGACTTGTGAGCTGGCATCCAGTAGTTAACTAATAAAAAATCTTGTTACACTGTTTCTTATCAATAGTTAATATGTATATATCTCGAATTTGCTTTTATATGTGTGGTCAAAGTTCCAAGTTCATATTGACTGGAAATTTCAAATTCATTACGAGGGCTGTCAAGTCCACCTCGAGCAGTCATACATAACTTAAGCTGTCCTAAGTGTGATTTATGGCCACCCTGAGCTGGCTGAGCATTCAACAAGGAAGTTGAAGGTGTCAGTGGATATATATTTTTGAGTAAAGTATCTTGATGTACTCAGGAAATAATATTTTTTCCATATTTAAGATTTAAAAGTTATTTATTGAATTGAAATTTGGCCGAATGTAAAGGAATATTTGAATTAATTTTTAAAATTGGATTGACCATATTGGGTTTTTCCTAACTATTGTTTAAGAAAAACAAAATTGTCTGGTTGAAATTTAGTAAGGAAATATGGAGTAATCATTACCTACCACACAATTTCTTTCTTGAAAGGAAGCATGATCATTGTATTGGAGTGTACCAAAAAAGAAAGTGGGGATATTAGAAGGGGACAGGGAGAGTAACTTGAACTAGAGAGTACTAAAACGTAGAGCCACAATTGACAAGTCAGTACTCTGGGTATTTCAATTGCCTACAGCCATGCTTGCTGTCATGCATTCATGTACGTGTGAAACGGGAATTTCATGATGTACATTGTTGTCTATTCCATCAAAAAGTCTTTATTCAGGTGTATGGTTGCAAGGGTGCACTTCTTGCAGCTCTTAGTACCCCTTTGATTGTTTGGTAACAATCTATATGGAGCATTTGTCCTTGGTTTTCACAAATATGCAATAATGTGGTGTTGAAGATGATGCAACTTCAATGTGCCATATGATCTTGTTTTTCAAAACTTGATTTCTCAATGAAAAATAATGTACTAAATCAAAATGACACATTAAACTTCTCCTGCTCCTTACTTTCTAAGAAGTTTTTTTTTGTGGTAAATGTAGTAATGCACCAAGGATCTTATGGAAATGTCTCTGTGTTTTACAGGGGTAAGGCTGCATACATTGTGCGCCCTCCTCCCCAAGACCTAAAAATTGGGATTGTACTGGTTTTCCTGTTGTTGACTTCTCAATGATAACAAATTGACCTATAATGTTTTTTTTCTATTCAAAATCATTTTTCTTAGTTGAGCCCACTCGATTGGGCTTCTAAATCAATGTTGTTTCTAGTTTTTTATAAGCCTACTTGGATATGAAACACAATAATATTCTCTGATGCATTTCTTCCCATTCTGATGCACTTCTGCTTATATGCGATAGTACGGTTTCTATGATGAGCAGATTATTTAGTTGATGAGAGTACAGAATGCGGTTCGACTTCGGATATATTGCTTGAGCGTAATCGCGAACAGAGCTTAATTGATCTTCTCATTCCTTCTTTGGTGCTGCTGATTAATCTATTGCAGAAGTTACAGGTTTGCAGGGGCCATTCTGTTGCATAAGTGCTTTCCTTTGATGTTACTTGGTTATCACATTGTGGACATCTCATCAGTCTATAAATGCCTCTACCCTAACTGTTGAAATTGAATGCTATTATAATACTCTCTCCATCCCTAAATAAACTTCACTTTTACCGCTCACATGGTCAAACTATATCTAATTTTCTTGTTTATTTGCTTCAGACATTTGTTACACTAAAATAGTCAAGTTACCTCTTGTTTATAGAAAAATTGATGTAGTTTATATATATATATATATATATATATATATATATATATATATATATATATATATATATATATATATATATATATATAGACACACACACACACACACACACACACACACATATATTGATTTTACACTATACTCCTTTGCCTGTAAATGAACTGCACACTGCACTATTCCAAAATCGCGGTAACTTTTGTTTATTTGTGTGCTTTTTATTTATTACATGATAAAATAAAATATTCTTGTCACCTTTTTGTTTTTAGAACTTTTGACGTAATTTTTAAATATGCAAGTTTTATTTTTTATTTCTATACCAAATTTTAAATGAAATGAATTGAAAAGGCTTGGGGTTTTGCCTCGTTTTGGCTTCCATGCAATCCATTTAGGCACACACAGAGTAGTTAAATAACTTGAATTAAAAATAATTTCTGTCAACCACAGTAAACTGACATGTGAGCTTGTGAAGTATTTTAGGGACAGAGGGAGTAGGTTATTTCTTTAAAGTGATCATTTTTCATCCATGTGACACAGTTTTGCAGTCGACTGAGATATATTTTAAGCCTTGTTTACCTGTTACCCCATAATAGTTTCAGGAATTGCCACACACATGCACATGAAACTTAATGGGCCTCAAAAATAGAAGAAGATTTTAAGCAGTTGGCTTATGATCCACACTTTTACATTATTTTTTGTTCAGCCTTCTAGCAGGCTTGCTTTTGTTAGTGGATTAGGTGTTTCCTTCATCACCCTTCTAAGCCGGTCCTCTTTTATTTATCCATTTTTAGGAAGCAAAGGAGCAGCACAGAAATACAAAACTCATAAATTCTCTCGTACAATTGCACCGAGAAGTGAGGTAGGGGTGGTATCTTATGTCTTCCTCCCAAATATAGGAGTGTCTTCTTTCCTCTTTTTTTATATTTTATTCAAAATTTGTATAAACTCCTGTTTTTGTTTGTTCGGAGTGAGAATATTGTGAATTATTCAATTTATTATTTGCAGCCCAAAGTTAGCTGCCTCTGCATCAGATCTATCTTACTCATGTCCCAAAATAGCCCTTGGTCTTGGAGCTGTTTGTCATCTTCTTGTGTCAGCATTAGCCTGCTGGTCCATTTATGGGTGGACTCCTGGACTCTTCCATTTTCTATTTGACAATCTTAATTCAACTTCAGTTGTAGCACTTGGCCCAAAGGAAACTTCTAGCCTTCTGCTCCTTCTGGTATGTAAATTCCATATGTTGTTTGTTCTTCTGGAATCAGTGTATTTGGAAGTCATCTACATTTGGTAGTGTATCTATGGAATCTTACAATTTGTTTCTAAACTATATGTTTGTTTCAAGCATGATCTGTTTCCAGATGAACGTGCCTGGCTTTGGAAAGATGGAATGCCAACATTAGCGACTCTTAGAACATCTGCAGTAAGAACGCTGTTAGGACCTCAAAAAGAAGAAGAAGTTAATTGGTACTTACAGCCTGGACACAGTGAGAAACTACTTGGCCAAATGGCACCACAACTTGGAAAAATTTCTCAGATTATTCTGCATTGCTGTGTCAGTGTATGTGATTCACGGTCTAATGCATAATTTGATCTTACTGTTTTATCTCATAGTTTTGTTTGTTTGTTTTTATACTTCCATTTCTCACACACAGTTTCTCTATTAAATAGCTTCTTTGTTGTGTTCATATGCTTTTAATGGCTTAATGAATTGATATGTAGGTGTATGTTGACTTTTCTTAGACAAATGGACACATTGTTATTGCTTTATAGAAGACTCTCATATTCATTTTTGGAAAACTGAATGCATTACACATAATATAAAATATGAGGTTGTTCACATCCCTACTTTATGTGCAGTCTCTTTATCAGTGATTCTATACAATTGAGTACTTGGATAAGATCCAAAATGAGGTTATTTGGGGAAGGGTGGGGGTCGTTCCTTTGGAGGAGAACATGCATGAAGCTAGACTGAGGTGGTTTTTGCACGTAAGGAGAACAAGTGCAGGTTCAGAGGCCCAGTGAGGAGATGCGAGATGCTAGCGACAGTGGGTGGGAAAAGGGGTAGAGGTAGGCTTCTGAAGAATTCGAAGGATGAGATTAGGCAGGATCACGGGCTACGATTTTAGGATCTTACCGAAGATATGGCCTTAGTTAGATAGGAGGGATCAGAGATCTAAGACAAATTTTAAAGTACCTGGGTAGACCTCTGGGTCTGAGTTTGTAGTTTATGATAGTTTATGTTGGCGTGTTTTTTTATCTTAGCCTTTAGCTTGTGCATGTCTGTTTTTTTTTTTGCTTTGGATCTTTTTGCTAGTGTCAGTTTGTGCGTCTTGTGCTTGTGCTCTTTCTTATTTTGTGCTAATGTGTTTCCTTTGTATGTACTATTGTGCTGGAGCCGGGGGTCTCTTGGAAACAACCTCTCTATTGTCATGTAGGGGTAAGGTTTGTGTTCACACACCCTCCCTAGACCCTACTTGGGTTCGTTGTTGTTGTTGTTGTTGTTGTTGTTGAGTACTTGGATTCTCTCATGATTTAATGCATGTTATCAGACATTGATTGTAATGCAAGACATGTTGCGAGTCTTCATCACTCGCATCACATACTTGAGCACTGATACTGCTTCAGTGCTCATACGACCCATCGTATTGAAGATTCATGATCATCTTTCTGACCCTTCTACATTGTCAGAAGTGGATGTCTACAAGGTAATAAATATGAAGTATCCTATTTTGTTTCCTGCAGTGATTTGCTTAATACTCCGTATTATTTTTGTTGATAAGTTTTTTTTCTCATTTTTGTTTTGCACATTGTATTCTATCTTTTTTCATTGCACTGCTTTTTCTTTTCCAGGTTCACAACATGCTACTTTTCATTTCTCTTCTATTAGAACATCCACATGCCAAGGTGCACTTTGTGTTTAAATTTTGTTTTGTCCATATTTCGCCTTCATATATTGAAAACAACAAATTGTGTCAATTTATTGCTTTCTTATCTGTATTTGTCAGAACGTTATATCAAAGGCTGGTGTCGTTCAAATGCTACTTGAAGTGCTTCAGAAGTGTTTAGATGCTGCCAATTCGGACCCCAAAGTGTTCCTACAGAACAGAGCCGTTAGTGGCAAGATGACTTCAACAGTTAGCTGGTGCACACCAGTTTTCAAGTCAATCTCAATAATATCTGATAGTCAGACACATGGACACATCAGTTCGGCGCCTGAGAGGTTAGCAGCAGTTTCGTGGATTATCAACAATATTTTTTCTCTGCATATTTTTTTTTAAACTTTGTAGATTATTGATTTTCAGACACATCCCAGAAGCTTTCACAGCTGTGGAATGTACCTTTGTCCTTACACAACTGCTCACATTTTTCAAGGTCTGTTTTTCTCATATCCTTAAATTTTACAGTGTCCATTCCAGTGATCCTACTACTTAATGGAGTATGTGAGTATGTGTCTTTTTGCATTTTATTCAAGTGAAAAGTTCTTTTTCATGATACAATGTGTAGATCCTGCCAGTGGAAAAAGAATTGCTTGCCTGCCTCTCAGCTTTTAAGGAAATAGGACGTTCGGCACAAGGAAAAAGTTCTCTGCATTCTATTTTTCTGCAAATTCAGTCTGCTGATGAGGATTATGAATCTGAGAGTTGCTGTGCAAATGTTATTTACAACATGAAAACATATGCCTGGAGGGATTATCCTCCTTTAGCTTATTGCTGGAGGTTGCTGTTAAATTCCATTTCTTCACAGAATATTCCTCTGGTATTAAGTGTTGAGGCTATTGGAACATTATGTTTGGGTTCTCTGAACTTCTGCATGGATGCAGAAAGGTCTGTCATCATTTTTGCATTTTCTGCTGTTTGCTTCTAATAGTCAACAATTTTGGTTTTATATATATATATATATATATATATATATATATATATATATATAACCAAAATAATTGACCACAAAATCAATAAAAAGGAAAGGTGCTCCAATTGGAGGGAGTGCGTTGGGGATGGGTTGGGGGTTTTACCGGGGGTGTGTGGTGGGGTTACGGGGGGTAGGAACAATCAATTTTCCGAATGGAGCACCATAGGTACCCCAATTGGAGTTCTGTAAATTTTTTGTTGTAAGAATAAGGGACCCTCTCTCTCTCTCTCTCTGTGTGTGTGTGTGTCTATATATATATATGGTGTGTGTGTGTGTGTCTGTTCTTACAACAAANGTCAGCTTCCAGCCAGATGAAACCTGATCTTGATGATGACCTTCAAGGAATAGATATTGTTTTTGATGCTGAGGTGTGTGAACCTGATGATGATAAGTTGCCTTTTCCTCAACCGGATGATCCTCTTCAACAGAATTCTCCTCCCCGTTCAATTGTTGAAGAGACGGCAAGTGAAGAGACCAGACAGTCGTCGCGTGTGATGTCTTACACAGAAGAAAACACACAGAGTGAATTCTCTTCGCGGATGTCGGTTTTTCGTCCCGAGGTTGGATTGACACGTGAACCAAGTATTTCTTCAGAGCGGAAGTTCAATGATCAGCCTGAGGAACTGAGGAGTTCTGTAGTTAAAACTTCGACTTCATCTCTAAAGCCAGCTGTGGATTCTCATTCACCAACAGAAATGTTTTCTAGAACCAATGTAAAGCCAAATCATGCGAATGTTCCACAAAAATATTATGATAAGAAATCGCAACTGGGTCAGCCAAATGTACCTCCCATGATGCCTATTGCAATTGCCTCACCTGTAGCCGTAAGTCCATTCTTCTCAGAAAATAAACATTTCTAATCGGGCGTACTGATTGCTGCTGGGACAAACCTAACTGCATTTAACCTCTTTTGTTTTGTATTTCCATCTAATTATTTGTTAGCACATTATTTGCTGTCACATATATCTACCATCTCATGAACTGCGGAAAAATTACATTGAACCCCCAAAAAGTGTTTACTTTGTTATGAGTGTTGCTGCAGTTCTGACTTTTGATGACAATAGAACGAACGATTACTATTATTATTATTTTGTGTTTTTGACGTTGATGCCATGCATGGGCAAGAACGTATAGTTAGATATGAAAAAAAAGAAGGGGCAAGTGTAGAGTTGGGCCAATAGGGAAAAAGGACATAGTTTGAGGGCCTAATATGAGGCTTGCTCAATCTTCTACCTTTGTCTGTTATGTGGCTAAATGTCTGGTCTCAAATACTTAATACTTTTGTTTTCAGGCTCAACAAGACTATAAGTCTATGCGGACAAGCTCTTCTGCTTCTCTGACATCCAGTCCTATGCCAGATTTAAAGTATCGGACATCAACTTCTTCATCTATCCGACCTTTCCCGCCACTTCCCCCGACACCGCCACCTTTTGGGGTTAACCCAAGTAGCCTTTCCTTATTAAAGCCTTCCACTTCACATTCACCGGGATACAATCAGAACAATGAGGTTCAGCATGCCTCTGCAAGTGATGGTGCCCACCTGTCTAACCCTTCCGCTTCAGGACCATTACTAACACCATTTTCACCCCCTCCTTCTTTAGCCCCTCATTTGATTTTCAGCAGACCATATGGAAGTAATAGCCCGGTTCTGCCACATCATGCCGACAACCTTCATTCTATTGGTCAGTTGCAGCCACTACAGGTACCTCAAATGCCTCGTCATCCTCCATCACAGCAACTCAGACCGTTTGTTCAATCGGATCAGGGGGTTTCGTTGTTACAGCAGAGCCGAATGCACATGCAAATGCAGCAGCAGCAACCGTTGCCACAGATGATGTTGCAGCAGCAACCTCAACTTTCTCCAGCTCCTCCACCTCATCCTCCCGTTTATTATAATACCAATAATATTCAACAGCAGCATGAAAGTATTTCACATCCATTAACACAACATCAACAGCAGCAGCACCGACAACATGATCTTCTACCACAAGGTTTACATCAACATGGTGATAGTGCGTCCCAGCAACAAGATTCCGGGATGTCATTGCAAGATTTCTTTAAATCTCCAGAAGCTATTCAGGTACCAACTCATCATGCTTCAGTCATGATGCGTGAAAATGTTTTGTTGTGTATAATTTTGGGGGTTTCACTTATTCGATGAGAAACTTATATAGTGATATATCTGCAATTTTTTATTGTAGTCTTTATTGAGTGACCGGGATAAACTCTGCCAGCTGCTCGAACAACATCCCAAACTTATGCAGATGCTTCAGGTTTGACCACTTCCAAACTCAGCCATCTTAGTAGTTTTTTTTTAATACATCCCACCCACCTAAGACAGTTTTCTATTTTATATCTTAACGGCCACCACTTGACCGTTGACATATTGTATAATTTTGCAAAACACTTCTAAAACTGTTAAAACAGGAAACTCATCTCGTTTGTTAAACCATTTGTGCAATTTGTTAACTTTGATATTGCCAACAAGGGGGTTTTTTTTGGGGGGGGGGGATGAAGTAAAAGTAAAACAAGCAGGCTGAATAAGCCTACCCAAATCAGTCAGTAGTTTAGAACCACTATTGTTTCCCACAAAAGTTTTATTCAAAAACTTACTGTTGTAAATAAGTCTTATTTGAACAAAAGAAGCTACTCCCTCTAGGGTCCTAGGATTAATTAGCTTACTTGTTGACCAAGTTGGGTTAACACTATATATATCATAGCCAAGCTTTGGGTTTTTGGGTTTTGATATGAGAGCCATATGAGAGTTATTGTATTAGGTTTTGATTTATATTTTCCTAATATAATAAAATTTAGTTCTCATCAAATTATGTTCTATTTAGTACTTTAAATTCAATAACCCCTACTTAGAAAGTTACAATTTCACATCATCATCCTCTCTCGTTTGGGGTTTCCAATCTGAAGCCGTTTGATTTTTAGCTTACTCTAAGATCTGGTCATCTGGATAATGGATGCATCATCATGTCATCGCATTCTTCCCCAGGATCTAGTCGTCATCTCATGTTTCACCATTTTATCCAGTTGTTGTTGGGTGCTAAACACCACACTGTTGATTCCCAGTTCAATTGCATCCTCTTCATTTACATGTTCAGTTGTGTTTGTAGACCTCCCTTCCACCCAAGAATCTCTAAACTTACTGTGGATGATCTTTTTTTGTGTGAGAAACATTTCCCTCTATTTTTATAATTGCTTAGATCTAAACATTTGTCTGCACATCTTCAGTCAGAAGCAGTCAGATGGTGCATGAGTTTTGGTTGGGTTGTGCAGTAGGGTGTCCTGGAGAGGGTGTCTGGGCGGTGGTTTGCTGGTGGAGGGTGCTGGGGTGGGTAGTGTGCAGCCGCCGGCCAGCGGGGGGGGGGGGGGGGGGG